GTAAACTCTTCCACTGACTTCCCCCCCCCCCCAGTGTCTCCTCATGCTTTCTGAACCACCTTCACTTTTTTCCTACCCTTTCCCTCTCCATCCTACCTAGCACAATTAGCATAGCGCCTAAACTGAAAAGCCAAAGAGCTTGTTAGTGCAACTCTGTGCTTCATGTCCTGCCAGCCAGCTGGGAAACCACACTCTAGATAAAATACCTAAAGATTAATCTTTCCTTGTTGCTCATGTTTTCTGGACCTTCGATCATAGTTCCCGTTCTCCTCTGGACAACATAATAAAGTCCTCATTTTCCTGAAGACGCAGCCCTTACACAGATTTTATTTTAAAACATCAGAAATTATATTTGTCATGGAAAAAAGCACCATCTCTGCAGGCTTTGGACAAATATTTGGATCTGCTGGTATGTCTATATTTCAAATACTTACTTGTGCCAACGTGATGCGTGTCAAGTGTCAATATGCACTAGTTGCACATTACTGCTTAGCCAGCTTATTTACCCATGAATGTACTACAAATAATATGTCAAACAATGAAAGCATATACAAAACACTGTTCTGTTAATTGATAATCAACAAAGCTGCCATTAAAAAGAAATATTACAGGGCTTTACATCCTAAACAGCCAGTGTAGTGCAAGAAACTAGAAACATACGCACGCCCCAACCATGGGGCTAAAGAGAAGAAAGACAAGAACAAAACTGCAGGATCTTGCACTAAAATAGCTCCACGTAAGTATTTACTCCAAGGCAACACTGTTACCAAACACCCAATATAGGCTTGCTTTTTTTTTTTTTTTTAAATTGTCTAGCCAGGAAAAGTTCTACAAATTGTAGGGTAAGGTATCCAGGAGACACTGAAGATGTATGTGGACCCAAGTATTGTGTTTTGAAAGAGCTTTCAAAGCAAGAACCTATAGGAGAACATAGTTTGTGGTTAAGTAGAAAACTACCTTTAAATTTTCTAAGCATTCTGGTGCCCATGAGATACTAGAGAACAAAGTAAGAGCTGCGGGTAAATACACAGCATCTCCCAAATGGCATATTAATTCATTAATGAATGCAGCCACATTCTTCAAGCTCAAAATTGGATTATTTCAGTACTGTTTACCAGCTAGTTTCTTTCTGGCTCCACAGTCAGTGCTACTTCCCAGCAAACTTAGAAGTCTACAGGCACTACCATTATAGTCATATGTTCTCAGTCTGAGCAATGCATCATGGATGCAAAAACCAAATCTGAAACACAGAAATATGCATGTCTGAAAAATGCTATCAAGACTTGCAAGGTGTTCTTAACAGAAGACATACTGAGGGCTACTGTAAGAAGAGAGCAGCTTCTGAAGGAAAAGCTTAACTGGTTGTCTGAGATCAACACATTATGTCAAAAGTTCAAGAAATTTGGTATGGTTATTATAAAAGAAGGAGAAAAAGATGAAACCAACATTTTTCTAAAATGAAGCTTTCTATTAGACATGTTAATAAACCTATTGGAAAATATGCTGTGCTGCAGATTTTCTGTCTTCTGGCATTTGTCCAAGTTTAGAGAAAACATTAAATATTTTCACAAGTATAATTCTTACATATGTGGATGTGCTTTCTTTTACTGCCACTGGTAAAAACAGAATATATTCTTGAATATATTTTTTCCATTTCTTTTTTATGTATTTCATTTAAAATGCTCTTCATTTGTGACAAGAAAAAAATAATCCCCAAAATTAAAAGCAGGTTTGGGATACTTCTCCCTTACTTGTCACCCTTAGTAAAGTCTTTCAGGTTGCATTCTACCTTCAACTGCACTTGTGCAACCCTTCAGGAGGACACAGTCAAAAAAACCCCACTGGGTCCAACACACTGATATTTAATAATTTCAGACCCAGGAAAGAATCTGATCCCCACTACTGTGATCCAAAGAGTTTTTTGGGTTGTTTTATTTATTTATTTTAAGTGGGGTTGGTTCTTGTTGTTTTAGTTTTTTTTTTTTACTAAAACAAGTGCTTCCCCTGAACACATACAAGTTTTCAGAAATAGAATCCTTATTATTGAATTTTTAGTTAGCTAAAGGCTTAGTATGTGAAAGATGTAAACAAGAAGCGCATCAACATTACTTTTAACATTAACATTACTTTCATTACTTTGAGCATTTTAACTCAAGTTTGGTGTGGGATGTGTATTTGCAATCAAATAAAATCAGTCAGCTACAGTGAACATATCTTCACATTTTCCTATACAACATTAAGTTTTACATTAAGCTGGTCAGGGAGGTTTTTGAAAGACAAAAAAAGCACAGCCTTGGTTTTTGATGGAAGTGATTGAACTGCCCAGGATCAGGGTCCGAACAGTCGCAGCCAAACTGGTGTACCAGGGTCACCTGATTTGTACAGTACTGGAATAGTCAAAGTATGTAACCCATTGCCAGTTTACATACTTTAACGGGAGATATTGCACTGAGTAGCTATTGGTTTCTTCCCACATTGGTGGGGGGTGTGTGTGTGTGTGTGTGGTGTGTGGGTGTGGGTGTGGGTGTGAGAAATCACACTTAAAAACAGATGGAAAACCCCCAGAAACATAAGGTGAAGCACGTGCTCCAAGCAGACCTATCTAGAATGCAATGTGAACAAAGCAACTGTGAAATGCCTACAAGTTAAGTGTTATGAATTCTTCCATTTTAATTGAATTATAAATAATTTGAGAAATAAACTATTTCCTAATGCACAACATATGAGAACAAATGTTAAAACACACTTTCAAGTAGGTGATAAAACTTAATGCTTCATCATCAGAAAGCTACTGTCTTTTAAGTATATAAAAAGCTATTCCAGATAACATTATGACTGAAAGACAACCAAGGCAAAAAACCATAGAACTTTGAGTCAGTCTCCAAACTTGTTTTCTTGCTATTTGTCAAGTTCATTATTTAAACACAAGATTGTTTTCTTAATTTAATATATATACTTATACAATGGCTTAAATTAAGGCATAATCCAGCTGGCTGAAGTTCAGTAAAATGTCTCTGTTGCTTTTTATTAATAATAATTGGTTCAGATTACTGCTGGCAAAAGTAACATGGTCCATTAAAGAAGAGGTTGAAAAACAGATGTCTGTAGTACTACTATCTTCCATTAGAATGATTTGTAAATTAAATGCAGTGTAGGCCTTTGAACTCAGGAAGCCTTTCAAGAAACTCACCATTAAATCAACTTATCAGAGAGGGCTTGAGGCTTTAAGCAGAAGCTGGTAAAACTCTGAAGCCATAGTATGGTCTTTACAGAAAGCCTTTCACGTTCTAGAGAAAGAATACTATCCACCCAATGTGAAACAGAACAAAAGTTATCATCCAAAAAGCACAGGGAAAACTTTTGCAGACCTAGCCAAAAAGACAATGGCTGAAATTTGACAGACATTAAAAGAGAGCCCTTCAGAATCCAACTCAACATGCCAACTGGAGACTCTTAATTTAAAAGCATTGCCTCTGATCATGTCACTATGATGATACTTTTGTAAATGACATTTTGGGCTCTCAAATACTCTGAAGAGTATTTCTTCCATGCAATTTGGAATCATATTCTAAGATCCTAGAATACTTCCATTTCCTACTTCAGTTTTAATGTGAAGTGTTTGAGGCTTTCTGGGACTGCAATTTAAGTGTAGAACAGACATTTGATAAAGCTTAATGTTCTTAGATGGAATAAATAATATGCAAATCACATCGTCCCTCTATGTGTACTAAAGTTGATGCATAAAAGACTCAATCATGTTATACAGGAAAAAACACAATTTCAGGTATATAAAGTAAGACCAGCTGCACCCCAAAAAGTTTTAAATTCACAAATTTAGTCCTTCACAATGTCATGTAGCAAGAGGTGCAAAATAATAGGCTAGATCACAGCCTCATTCCAGAACCTGACAGGCCATGCTTTGGCTTCTCTTGGGACAAAGACAAAACATGACTGAGGCAGTTGATTAGTTACTGAGCAGCAAGTAGCTTTAAATCACACGTAACTATAGCACCATATGTGCTCTTTTGGGAATGAAAACATCAGATTATTTTCTTCAGAATTAGAAATCGCAATTATATTCCTTAAACAAATAACAAGTAGAAGCTGAAAACCCCAAACATATGAACTTTTACTGCTTTACTTTAACATTTTCCCAATGAAAATACTGCCTATTAAGCTTAGTATAGTGCTACTACCTATTTTCTTACCTATTTGGCTTGTATTTTATTCTAAAACATTAAACATTCTTAATATGCTTTTGCTTCCAGACAGCGTTCTGTGACAAACACTGTTTATTTTCAGAGACAGCCCCTAGAGTTCATACGAGTGCTTAGAAAGCTTCCTGTAGCTCCATTCATCCTGCCTTTTAAACTAGACTAGTAGCCAACCCAGGTACCTGGAAGTAAAAACAAAGACAAAAAAGTTAAGAGATGCATTTAATGCACCACGGTAGTATAAATCCTTTCAGAGGCTGGTAATTTAACCATTCTCTGCATTTCCTGAAAGTCAGTTTATACTAAAGCATTCCCTTGTATCAATGGCTTTGACAAGTAGGGAAAAGTAAAGTAAAACGTGACAATAGGGAAAGTGCTAAAAAACCTATCATGTTTCTCTCAACTAAGCATTGTAGCAGACTTGTTCAATGCTTTTCCTCCATGTTAACCTACACTATGCTAAAGCAGCAAAATAGCCACACAAGCACAGAGTACTGTGTAAATAAAGACTCTTAATACTACCCTGGTATAATGAAAATGGAACAAAGGCATTCATTAATAAAATGATCATTGAAATCCATACATCAGAACCCTTGTAGAGCACCATATTTCAGAAGGATGTTTGAAGTGTATAGCTGTACCGAAGCTGGAGGCAGAACATTCGTTGTTGGATTTGATGATCAGACTCCCAGTGAGGTTCTTCAATGAACGCAAACACTACTAAACCAGTCCTAAATATATACTGGTTTTACATGGATATGTTTGTGAGGGAAAATAAGGAGTTCTTATCACATCGTTTATTCCAGCTGGTTTTGCTCTGCATTTAGGCATTTGCTTTCAAGGCTGTCCTTATTCTGACCAGCTGGTTCCTCACTCTGTGCAATAGAAATTTCTGACCGGTCCGTCTTTGTGTCAGTATCAGCCAGCTCCTCTGCAGCTGAGGTGGGGCCATGCAGCTCCTTCACATGGAGGGTAGGACTGGTCATTTGTTCTGTGTCTTGTTGAGAGGCTGGTACATTGGTATCTTTGGGAAGCTCAGGGCAGTTGACAGGAGCTATCACCAAGGGAGGCTGAGGTAGGTCTTTCTGTAAATGGAAGATCACAGTCAGAATGATGGAAAGCAGGAATTACTGTGTCCAGTTATCAGGAGTGATGGTCATACAAGATGAAGATTAAAGGTCCATCATCTCCGCTATCATTCTCCAGTAGTGGACACATGCATACACAGTTGTCCTGTCATTGTGTTTTATGGATTTTTCTTCCAGAAATGTGTTTAATTACTTTCTGCCTGATGGTTCCTCGCTGATTTCAGATGCGCTCTGCTGATTACGCAGGAACACGCAAACAGCACTTTGGCACTTCGTCGTTCTCTGGTTTTGCCTACCTTTACTATCAGTGTATGACAACTGGCAGCTTTTCCATCACATTTCAGATGATCTCAAATACTTTTCAAACAATTAAATTCAGTTCTCTAGAGGAAAGTTGTGAAGGTTATCACAAATAGTTGAATAACAAAATAAAACTCACTGGGGGGAACCTCTAGCTTGATAGATTTGCCCTTCAAGCAATTATTCAAAATTATAATCATGCATCATGATAGAAATTACTCCTTTTGGAATCTAATTAATTTCACTTGTACCACAGTGAAACAAAGTGATAATTTACTATATTGAACTAGATTTCTACCTTCATAAGCAATAGGCTATGAAAAAATATGAAGAAAAATATTTTAAGGATATATTTTATACAATATTATAAAACATTATATTTTATATAATATCTTAATATTTTACTCACAATAATAACAACAATAACTTTCAACAGAGATCAAACCAGTAAAATTATGGCAGAATCAAGAAGGATAGACAAGGTCTACTTTACTTTTCACTAGCCAGTTTAAGTGGCCATAAACATTAAAAAAGAAAACCTTATTGAGGCAAAAAAAAATATGTAAAAAAGCAAACAATCAAGCAAAACAAAAATCTTTGGTTTTGTTTGATAATACTGCAATATCTTACTCAACTTTAATTCTAGTTAGGTTTTTATAATATTAGTATTTCTTGAAGACACTCATATCAAACTGGTATTCACCGCAAAGCCGCTGCCCGTCCAGAACATGGCAAGCTCCTTTCTCCAAAGAGCCACAGCAAAGCTTGTGAGAAGAGTACAGGGCACCAAGTAGAGGAGAGCGGGCTGGCCCATCTGCATCAATGCCAAGGCAACAAAGGTCACAAGAAGGCCTATGCCATATGCTGGAAGGAAACAAACACAGCAAAAACCAGTTATTCAGATATAGCTCTGCTCAAGAACAACTAAATAATTAGCTAGATGAGCATTCTAACAGGAACTTTTTTCAAGTAATATGTAAAACAACATCTCCAGAATTTTTTCAGGCCTCTTTAGACACAAGTATTATATACACAATGTAAACTTGGAATAGTGCTTTACTTAACAGAGATACTACAGTCTTTCTATTGATAATAACATGTTGTGAAAGTAGTGATCGGCCTAGTCCATACTGTGCAATTAAATCATTGCCTTAAGCAGTTTGAGAAAGGCAAAATAAACAAATGAAATATTGTGCCTCATACTGTATTTATGAATTCAACAGATACAGACAATTATTTTGACCATTATAACATGTGCTTCTTGTTTGGCTTGGCTTTGGCTGTTTCTTAGTATCCTGCAACACCACTAAAAAAACCAAACAAGCCAGCTGTATGTTATAATTTGTTATTACTTTCTATTTAATTTCTGCATATATTCTGCAAAAATTAAGTAGAACAGAAGCCGCTAGGATCTCATATTGTAATTATTTTCAATTACATTTTCAGAACAATGAAGCTAAATCCAACTGATTTTTATTCAGGAACCAGATGAAGAAAGATATTGAGGTGCTGGAGCACGTCCAAAGACGACCAACAAAGCTGGTGAAGCGTCTAGAGCACAAGTCTTATGAGGAGCGGCTGAGGGAACTGGGGTTGTTTAGCCTGAAGAAAAGGAGGCTGAGGGGAGACCTTATCGCTCTCTACAACTACCTGAAAGGAGGTTGTAGCGAGGTGGGGGTCGGTCTCTTCTCCCAAGTAACAAGCGACAGGACGAGAGGAAACGGCCTCAAGTTGCACCAGGGGAGGTTTAGATGGGATATTGGGAAAAATTTCTTCACCGAAAGGCTTGTCAAGCATTGGAAGAGGCTGCCCAGGGAAGTGGTTGAGTCACCATCCCTGGAGGTATTTAAGAGAAGTGTAGACGTGGCGCTTAGGGACATGGTTTAGTGGTGGACTTGGTAGTGTTAGGTTTACAGTTGGAGTCGATGATCTTAAGGGTCTTTTCCAACCTAAATGATTCTATGATTAGAATACTCAACACATTTTTACAATTCTTCAAAAATCTTTTTTCAGGGCACGTTATGTTATTAGTGAGAGTTCCTTATATCTAGTTGAAATATCTCTTCTTGTGACTTAAGTCCATTGCCTCACATCTTATCCCTGTGCACCTGTAAGAAACGTCTGTCTGTCTTCTCTGCACCCTCACATTAGGTAGCTGTGGACAGCAACAGAATCTCATCTTTGCCTTCTCTTCTTTTAAAATCATGTGCTCCAGCCCTCAGCCATCTTGATGGTCTCCACTGGATTTACTCCAGTATGTCAATGTTGGTCTTGCACCAGGGATCCCCAAGCTAGATACAGTATTCCAGACTCGGTCTTAACTGCCAAGTTGAGCGGAATAATCACTTCTCTCATACTGCTGACTCAATCTTGCTAACACAGCCCTGTATGTGGTTAGGTTTCATTGCTGCAATAGCACACTGCAATGTTGATACAACATTTTCCTATCAATTTCTGTAAACATGTTTTGAAAGTACCAGGTAAGACAAAACTTCCATTTAAGTATATATGAGAGGAAGTTATTTAAGATTTGGTACACTGAAATAAAAGCATTTCTCTAACCCTGCTATAAGTGTCCAAGAACATAGATATTTTTTCAAAAGAATTTCTAAAGCAGTTTTTCATGAAAATTTTTCATGACATTAACTGCAAGCATCTTAAGTCTTTGCTAGCATAAATACTTTGTAACAAAGCCAACAGAAATCTGTAAAAACCTATTCATTGGTCGTCCATGGCATGTAACACTGTGGATTCTACAAACTGAAGACGATGACTAATTTGGAGGTGTTACAGCCATCATAATGTAATTCATTGCATCATAGGTCACGGATTTTTAGAATACACAAAAAGTTAAGAACAAAGTCAAAGGAAGATATCCCTGAATTCTCATATGCAATAAACTCAAAGATTCATGAATCAAGAAACCAGAATGAGTAGCTAAGCATGTATAAAGACAGAGTACCTGTAAGGGTTATAGTGAGACAAACCATGGTAACAAGAAGCTCCCCTTATATATGGCAGACAAAACAGCTCAGGAAAATGACATCAGATAACTTGGTGATGGAAGGTCTAGTCTCGGAAGTACTTTGCTAAAACATTTCTGTTTAATAATAAAAGGAGAATAATAATACAAACCCCCAAACTATGTAATATGAGATCAATGGTATGCTTTCAAAGGAAGCAACTCCTGTAGGTATTGTGTTCAAGTGTCACTGTTATACGTACCTATTGTGCAGGCTACAAAATAAACTCTGGACGACTGCACCTGAATATCAAATCTATGGCAATAGGCTACCAGTAAGCCTAGGAAAGGAAAGAACAATTACAACATGCTTTCAACCCATTCATGCATTAAGATACACAAAATCATCAAATTATCTAGGAACTTTTAAGCTTCCCCCCCCTCCCCGACACTTACTTGGGCACCCCAGTGTTTAAGTGCTATGACAGCATCATTCAGGAGGCTGCACAGCTTACAAAACAGTTATATGATAACAACAGAAGCACTCCAATAATAAAATTAACATCTACACAGATCCTAGATACAAAACGTCACCCCATCCCTAATAGAGAGCTGTAAAAATACAGTGTTCACAACAAGTAAGTTCATCCCTTCCAGCTCCCAGCAAAGATGGTAGAAATTTATGGTTAATGACTATACCTATTATAGGTTGGGGGGTGGGGGGAGGGCACACGGATGGGGATGACAGTTCATATTTCCCAAAAATACAAGAAAAACAAATGATTTCTCAGAAGAAATCTGAAAGCCAGAAGATACATACTTGTTTTCACCTGCAGTGGTGCCAGGCATACTTCTACATAATATCTGAAGTCAAATTTGAGAGAAGGTGTGGTAGAAACACTGGATGTTGTGTGACTAACAAAATTATGAAGTTTTGAGTGGTCAGGTATGTGTGTACTCAAATCATGTGCAAATGGACAAATAATATCCTCTATCACCACACTATTAAACATGTTTTATACTATAAAATGAGTTGCTAAATCAACTCTCGAGATTTCTCTACATTTCTTGACATCACTGCATGTGAAACTGAACCATAAGATTAATGTGCATTTAATTTCTTATGGAAAAAGTGAACAGTGCAGGAAAAAAGAACATAAAAGATACACTTACAAATTTATCAGGTTTATAGAAGGCAAATCAAACTCCCTACTTGAAGCAGAAGTACAAGAGGAATAAACTAATATGACAGTGCAACAAGTAAAATTCTTAACATGCTAAACAAGAAATACCTGGAACTAAAATGTCTCCAAATCCTAGGAGAGAAAAAGGCCTGTCACACAGAGCCAACGGTGAGGAGTTCAGTCGCGGAACCTTCAGGACCATTGGGAGCTTGGTACGAGAGACACATATGCCTTATGAAAAGCTGTTTTCTCTACATACTGACACCATCTACCAGAACTTGTTCCTGTTATACTGAGACTACAGACTTCAAATAAAGCAAATGTATCTTTTTTTTACATTATAGATCCTTATGTTTAAAATATTTTATTAATATTACTAACAACTAACAAAATGTATTTAAGATAGAAGTGATGAAATACTTGCTAAAGACAAACAGCCAAGACAACTCTGCACAACAGACATCTCAAAACTATATTAATTTCAAAGTCCTCACATGCAATAGGGTATCAACTCTGCTTTAACTGCAGGAACGTAAAAAATTTAGGTAAGCTGCCACATGCAGAAGAAATAACTATTTATATTTCATTCTACTGGTTGCAATAAAAGTCTCAAAAGAGTAAAGACTTGAATAATTTTAAAAAGTGATTTTTCAAATCACTTTAAAGACTTTTTTTCCCCAAGTGTTCCTATTACATAATTTGCAATGTTGAGGCACAGTACAGCAAGGTTCATTGCAAACATGTATTCTCTTTAATACAGTACATTAAACAAACTTTCTTTTATCTTCTTTCTTTTCTTATGTTAGTGCCAGAATAATTTTATCTACTTATATTATCATTATTTTTCTATACATTCATTCTGTGCATAAAACTGAAACTTAAGGGGTACAAAAGACAAGAACTTAAGAAGTTAAAGAAATCAGTATGGATTGTATGGATTGATCCACTTGTAGTTCATCCTGCAAACAACTATTTTCTTTTCTATATTTTCCCATGCAACAGTATTACATTCATTGCTGAAAACAGACCCAACATCCTTAAATTAACAAAGCCAGTTTTCCTGCAGATTCATTTCTTATTTGTTTTGCACACTGTATCTCACTATCCTCCTACACCTCACGTACTTTCCTCCCCGAGTCAGCCACATCATGCTGTACAGCTCTGCATGCAGCTGGCTGCTGTCAAATGGTATAGAACCACTGAATACTGACTTCTGTTTTCTTTCTGTCTCCAATTCATGTTTCTCTCCTTTGCCTATAGCTTCAGCTTTTCATAAAGCAATTATCAAAACAGGGGAGAAGGGGGAAGAGACAGACTGATCATGTAAGTTTTATCTCTTCAGGTAAAAATGGATATGCTTCATTAGCAACATGTTATATTTACAAATATGGTCATGTGTTTTTGTAAAGCTGAGCTAACCAGCTTCCTTATACTGAAACCCTTTTAAAGCAAGATAAAGGAAGACCAAAGCTGTTGTGATGAACCACTAAAAGTCTGCTTTGCCCGCTGTGTTCAGTGTAGATTTCCAGAGAGCTCAGGAGTGCTTATTTCCACACTAAATTCTTTTCAGACTAGCATCTCCATTTCAGCTTTGTGGTCTTTGAATTTTAGAGAAGTTGAAAGTGTAATAGCTGAAAGTTAGTGCCATATTTTCAGACTACATACAATACCTTTTCATGAGTGGCAGAATCAGATGGGCCTGCAGCCACCTCCACCATTATACTCTCCCCAGTCTAAAGAAAAAAAGGTGAAAATTGTAAATCAGCACTTCACTCAGCAGGTCCGGGATCATTTAGGAACACACAGAGAAACAGGTCATTACACTTTACTCTGAGCAGCAGGCACGAGAGAAGTACTTTACTTACCTTTGTTAGAAAAGGTGTAATAAATACAAAGAATACATCATACACAAAAAGAACCAGGAGGAGCAAGGTACAACCCTGAAGGAAGAGACAAGATACTTGGTATTTGCATACTATGCATTAGTAAACAGCAAAGAATAATTAGCAACTTAAGACTATTCAAGGCAAAAGCTAACAAGGACTAAAACAAGTCACCCACGTATTTTTCTTAATTCCTAAATATTTTAGATGGAGGAATTGGGTCTCACATGCACCATATAAAAGAAAGTAATTCTTATAACACAAAATTACATGTTAGTCCCTAAAATTCTTTATCTTGTAAAATCTGGAGATGGTGCCGTTTCAATTTGTTAGGAAATATTAAGAAGGTCTGCATTTTCTCTAGAGGATGCTAGGCATAGCTTGAAACAGCAGCCATATTACTTTGGCCAATCTGTCCAGGGAAACAAATTTATAGGTGAAGATAACTTGAAACAGAGTTTGAAGAGCTGCCTAAGGAGCAACTAAATGACTAATACTGATTTTTATCTTAGGATATTGAATAAGTTCTGAAAGATTTGAAAAAAGCACCAGAACGATCCATCAATTGTGTGTCAAATTTGAAAAAACAAAACAAAACCAAACCCCAAACAAAAACAAAATCCCAAACAAAAAAACTCCCCCCAAAAAACCCACAAGTGAGTGTGTGGTTTATTAGTAGTCAACACTCTACAGAACTTTAAGTTACCAAACACCATGCATAACAATCACATGCCACTTATTGGTCTACATTATACTCATTACATCACTTCTTTTCCCAGCTACATATGAATGGAAGTGCACTTCCAAGCCAATGTACTCCATTGGCTCCAAGTGGCTCCTCTGTTCAACTATATACAGGCAAACATCCTCTTTTTACATCTGTTTAACTTTCATACCTTAAATGTAGGCAGGCGAATTGTTTTCAACATGTAAAGACAGAAAGCGATTCCTAAAGCATCTTGCAGAACCCAGGCCCACCTAAGAAAGAGGAGGGTAAAAAAAAAAACAGTAGGAAAGTCAGACCAAGCCTTGTTCTCACTAAGGACCTGTTTGGGACAGAAAACTTTATTAGAAGTACTTGCTTGAAATCAACATTGTTGTCAGCATGGATTTGCAAATGGGAAGTTGTGCTTGATCAACTTGATAACCTTCTACAATGAAATAACTGGTTTGATAGATGAGGGAAGAGCAGTGGGGATATTCAGTAAGGCTATCCACTGAAATCTCCCATAAGATCCTCAGAGAAACTGATGAGGTACAGGCTGCATGAGCAGACAGTGAGATGGATTGAAAACTGGCTGAATGAGGTCAGTGGGTACCAAAACAGGAAGCGCTGGGATCCTCTGGCCTGTGTATATGTGTACACCCCTGTGTGTTGAGGGAAGCCTACAACTGGGACTATTTCTTGATTGTGTTTTGCAAGTTAGATATAGAAGTACCAAGGCTCTTTGCTTTACTCTTGATTGCTAGGATCAAACAGAAATAGGTTTTGAGATACGAAACACTAAGGTTTCCCTAAAATCACTAAGGTCTAGATGCAGATGAGAGATTATGCTGTTGTGATCAATACCTGAGCACTTGCTGATGGAGCTTTGTGCAGGGGGACACTCAGGTCCACTCCAGCTTTGAGGCAGAAAATGGATTTCCTAGTTCTAAATATCCCAGGTTGGAATAGCTCTACAGTACTTCTGTACTCCTCAGATTGACACTTATTTCTCTAAAAGGTGTTTCAGAGTTGATGCTTCCTGGATTTATCAGTTCTGTCAGTGAATGATCCACAGCCTTAATACAGAAAATGGACCCCACAAAGGCAATAACAGGCATTCAAAGCATAAGCAAGACATCTTTGGTACCATCAGCAGAAACACAAGCCAGCATTTCAGATCCAACACAGAATCCCTGATAGAGGGACCAAAAGATGAACACATCATGTATGTATGGGGAAACTGGAGCATCTGGGAGTGAGGTAGGGAGTAACTTTTTTGTTACCAAAACCAAACCAAAAAAACAAAAAAACCCCACCCTCTAACAAAAGCCGTAAGAAGAACATGCTATAATTAGGTACCACAGCAATACTGGACACACAGAATTTTACTCATACCAGACAGCTGAGAGAAACTAAAGATCTGACAATCTTCACAGCTCTTATTCTTTCTGAGCAAATGCACATGCAGACCATCACCTGAAGAAATAAGTTAGACAACTTGTGTCCAACTTTCCATACCACTTCTGAAAAGCTGTGTTAAGCCAAAGAGATCAGAATATGGACTGGGACTCAGAGAAATTCAAGCTTAACGAGGGACAGTTTTCTGTAACTTAAATCAACAAGACAAAGGTTAAGTACATAAGGAACAACTAAGAATTTCTGCCCAAGTCTCTAGTTTCTTTCCTGTCACTCCTAAATTCCGGATAAGTTTAGGCTTCCACAGATGTCAGTTACTTATACTATAAAGCATATTACAATTTCTAGCACAGAAACTAAAATAGACACTTACTGATCTTCATTTCTGAAGATTCCCCAGACTACGCTCACAGAGATACAAAATACCGCCAATAGCAACATCCGGACCTGGGGACGCTTGTGAAAATAAGGCAAGTTGTTGTCTGGGATTCTGAAAATGAAACACACCAAAGCTACAGTTGTCTCTGTAGTTACCCTCCTCCTTTATAAACATTTTGAAGTATGAAACCACCTTGTAAATCCCACACCTACCCAACATTATAAAAAATTAATTTCACCTATTAAAAATTTAGAAGTTGCCACATACCTACACTTTCCCAAGGGGAATCTTCTTACAAAGGGAGACAGACAACTGTAAAGACCAATTGAAGCAGCCAGGCAGAATATTCCTATGATAACATAGACTGAGAAAGAAAAAGTAGTAAGTCCAAGTAGGATAAGGTAAGAGATGCTTTTTCTCATATCCCGGCTGAATAAACAACAGACAATCAAAAAGCCTGAATGAGAAATAAGGCTTACATTTCACCAGTGAAAGTTAAATTCAGAGACTTCAAATGATTGTTGATTGGATTTATGCTCTTTAAGTATCTAATTCTAGCTCATTTTACTGAGGTGTACTTTATGTAATAGCTACTTCAACAAATCAAAACCTCTGTGCTAATATTCTTAAAGTCATTAAATCATAAACCTAAAAGGCAATTTATGGTGAAGTGTTTATCTTCTCATTATAAGTATACATGAGCGTTATAAGGGAACTCTTAAAATCACTAAGTAGCAAAATGAATTAATACAGATGGGATGCATCTTTCATAACTTCCTCAGAAATATGAGGATGGAAGTTCCAGTGCATTAGGCTCTCATGTTCTTTTGTCAATCAACTTGATAAGCAATCAGTAGAAACATATCATCTTTATAAAGATAAAAAAATTGATCCTGGATCCCACAACTTAACTTCAAATTGAACAACAATAGAAAGACAAGTATAGGTTTGAGAACACCTTTGACAAAAATAAAAGGTAGAAGACATTAAGTATCTACTTAATAGGCTTTTACATTTGAAAGAAGCTCTATGATCACCTAATGCAACCTCACTAAAAGTAGGTATAGAAATCTACTCAGTGGGTTTTCTTACAGGGTTTTAAGTCATATTGGGATGAAGAAACCTGGCAGAAGACAGCCATTTCATAGTTCTTTTCACAGTAAAAGTGTTCTTTAAATGATGGCAGCCTTGTGATATTGAAGATGTATCAATACAAATACAACTTTAAGAGTACCTAAGTGGTCATAGAAGAAATAAAGGAGGACCAGCATTGAGCAGCACATCACAACAAATACACAGATCATTATTGGAGTCACATCAACTGTTTCATCATCATGTTTCTCTGCCCCATCATCACGTTTGTGCTTCATGTACCGCCTGAAAGAGTAACATGGCTATAATCAGTCCATTCCTTCTGCAACAAAATATAAAAGGGCACTGAATTCTTCAGCAAGAACTACATGGGGTTGGAAAACGTGACACGACACCAATGCCTGCACTGGTTTCCACTCAAGTCAGTGGAACTCCACATTTTACATGGATGCATGAACATCAGATATAACGATGCATAAAACAGTAATTGCTGCATTAGTTTATCAAGAGTAGTATTTTTCATTCACTAACAACTCAACAGAAGCCTGAAAATTACCGCAGAATAACTTGCTGACTTCAGAAGAAATCCTAAAGCCAGGTGGTGTATATAAAGTAAATGTTAGAACTAAGTGTGGCACAGATGACCTCCTCCCCCCAACTCCACCTACTGGCAAAAAGTAACCACAACATTTCAATAAAAGATTCAGAATAAACATAGTATGTGTTAGCCATCTAATCAGTTTGTTTTGCACTATACTAGTAAAAACAATTTTTTTTTTTTAAACAAAAGATTTTTATGGTGGATTTTTGCAAAAGCCCTAATAGGAAGCCTATTACTATCCAATTTTCCTTCCGAGCTTTTCAAATGTTTGGCCTTTGACAAGGCAAAATACTAAAATACTCTACATGCAAATTATACTCTAATAATTTCATACAGTGACAAAGCCAATACAAGGCTCAGGGCCTTCCAAATGTCACATCAGCATTTTCCCATTCTGGTTATATAGACAGTCTCCAAACCTCATCAGCAGAGCTACCAGGTGATCTTTAGATAAATACCATGGGGTTTTTTTTCTGTGAAAAATACAAGAAAACTGACATAATACGTTCCAGTTACTCACTTTTTCACATCTCTGCTTCCTGCCCAGTATCCTCCAATTGCAACAGTCCCCACAGCCATGACAAATATAATTACCATGTTATAGTCTAGCACAGGCTCATTTGGTGCATACATCGCCCCTTTCACTGAGCTGCCAAAACTCTGTGGAGGTAAGCACAAGTTATGAAGAACTTCCAAAAAGCTACCTTAGCAAAGGTTCAGTTATTTAGTTTTCACTAAGGATCCTCAGAATCAGGCTTTATTATAAATACTTAAGAGCAACCTATTGGCTCTACTATTAGTGATATTTATTTACAGCACCAGGGTCCATTTTTATTTTATTCTGAAGATGAGAAATAACCTCCCAAGAGATTTGCATTTTTTTCAAAACATAATAATGCAATCTTCATGAGTACAAGTCTCTACAGAACCAAAGCTCCTAAGATGGACTTCAAATACTGTTGAGCAATGACTCATTTAAATGAGATAATATGAATCAGAGCATTTAGTATAGAGTTTACCTTGCCAATATCTAACATATCAGTATAGCTGAGCAGAGCCACAGGAATATCAATTTCTTCATATTGACTCCTGTTACCCCCAGGAGGAACCTGAAAGATAGTTCAGATCAGGTAAGAATATATTCATTTCTGCAAATACTTCTACTACTTCAAAAGGGTTAAAGTTGAAAGTTCTGTTTCTGTTAGTTTGGAAAATATTCTAGAAAGGAAAATAACGACAGCAAAAACTCAAAGTCAGAATGTATGCCTGTTTCCAGTAAAACATAAGTCATTAAAGACTGTAACAGCAAAATGCAACAACCAAACTTCAAGCAGTATCTTTTGCACATCAGGGTCATGGTTTTATGACTGATGTGTGCCTCTAGTATTGACTACTATATTCAAAACTACTAATTTTACAAAACATACACTGGTGATGCTTCAGCTGAATCTAAAGCACTAGATTCACTGTGCTATAGATCTCATTGAAGGTAGTAGTATGAGTCAAGAAACCAACCTTCTTTGATTCCAGTATTTCATAAGTATAATTCTGAGCCCTTGACTTTAATGTTACATGGGATCTATGCAGCACTCTTCCTACTTAAATATTTGAGTACCTTCTCGTTTCATTAATCCTTCCTTCAGCTGTATTATTTCCACACATAGCTATGCAATGTACGTACACACATAAACACACACACATATTATCTATTTTAAAGAGGAGCATCAAATACCAGCAATGAGCACTGAAAACAAGACAGTATCTAACATCAGAGGAGTATCAGCAATATAGAAAGACAGAAAGAGACTTACCAGTCTCTCTCTACTAACAATGAGCAGCCCACGAGCTCCATTTATCTGAGCAAGCCTCACTTTCTCATAGAAGGTGCAATTCCCTCGCATCACCATAGGGATTTGATTATTAAATCCCCCATCAGGTACATCAGAAGGAGAACACAAAACAGATGCTGTCTGATCCTGCAGTTGCAAGAGTGACTGAAAAGAAAGAAATTAGTTAAATACATATATATAAAATAAAATTATAAAAGAAGTCAAGAGCAGAAAACACAGTTTCTAAAGGGTAATTTAGAACTTTCAAGTAATGGAGTGATAGAGTATTCTCAGAGAAACTTGAAAGCTGAAACAGTGCTGCCCTCTCTATTACGTAGGGTCCTGCCTTGCTTCACCTTATTGTACAGAATTCTGCTGGTAATAAAAGTTGGGTTATGATCTGCACTTGCATTTGTTTTCTTCAGCACTGTTGCTGTTCTGATGCACGCATCCAGGATGCAGGATGAGTACAGCGATGTGACACCCTAGCAATTATAACACTGAGCGGCAAGCTGAAAAACAAACACAGGCTGGGGCGAAGTACAAAAGCATAGGCAACAAAAATAAACTTCCATTTTGAAACCATATCCAGTTAGCTGAGATTTTGGATCCTAAGCACCTGGATACCGGTTTCTAAGCTGCTTCTCTCACTGCTTGCGATTCAGAGATGTTGCAGGTCTGCCCCAATTCCTTAATTTTGGCCCTCCTCAGACCCAAATACATCTACTCTGGTATGTTTACACAGGAACATCCCAAAGACATTTCAAGGTTTTAGAAATAACACCAGCATAAATTGTTCCTTGCAAAACCTAAACAACAATCTTTGCCCAGTTCTATTTGCAAGTCACCTGAAAAATGCAATTATCTACCAAATAACTGATTCTTGGTGTGAGCTGTGCTAACAGAAGCAGGTCACAGCCCCACTCTTGCTCAGAGTTGAGCTGTTAGGTTTGAGAAGTGTCACGGTAAAGTTTTAACCTGAGAAGCTGACACATGTAACACCTTGTATTGGAAATCCACAGGTACATGATACAATACCAAATACCTGTATAACTGACTCTACTGTTTTAGGAGGGAAAGGCAAGGGTCAAGCTGTTAGTAGCTCCAAGCTTATTCAGAAAATTGCTGTCTCCAACCTGGCGCCTACTTTAGAGACAGTAATATGTCTCTACACACACCTCCTGGTTGTCCAGGTTTCAGGAAAGCTTATCAGCTCTATCAGAGCACAACACAAATGCAGAGCAAGCTCAGGTTGGTGCACTGCATCACCTCAGTTAATAAATTGTACTGCTGGAGTACTGGAAGGAAGGAAAAGGAGGGAGAATGTGAAGGAAGGGAAAGGCAGAGGGAGAGCTGAGGAAGGAAACAGGGATAGGCAAGGGACATAGCAGAGGCAACCCAAGTGCTCTGTGGAAGGCAGGTCAGAACCTGTTGAGTGCTTCAGTTTCAGCTCAGTGCAAGCTACTCTGGACTACATTAGGTCCTGCAGAACTACTGAAATATGTCTCCAGTGAATCTTCCTGAGACTGGTTAAAACAAGATGTCTACAATACAGTGCCCAGCTCTCACAAACCCTAGACTCTGTGGGAAGTCTGCCTGGATCCAGTCGAATGAGACCCTAAGCTTCTCAAACCAGCTTCATGCACTTCTGCGTTCCCACTTCTGCTACGGAAGCAAAGGGATGCAGTGCATACATGCGCTGACTTCACGCTACACAGAGTCAGGTCAAGTGCAAGAGTTTATTAACTGGGTCTACATGAGGCAAAGGCAGCTGCAGCATCTGAGCTATCTATGTATCTAGGGAGTAATCTGCAGTTGCAATAAATCCACCACAGGTAATTAAGATTCGATTATACATTGATAAGGAGCATTAATAATTCTGTGTAGCACCCAACTGGTAGATTAAGGAATACAATGAATAAAGTGAACAGAGCATCAGTCAACTACGCCACATCTTCCCCAATTAGTAGCTCATTCAAAGTGCATTTGCTAATTTCATCATTCAGTGATAGTAACTTTTTCTCATGGATAAAGACAGTGAAGAATTGTCTCAATTGTCAGCTCATACAGCTTTGGATAATGCAGAAAAAGCTTGACACAGTTTGTGACCACTTATTCTTACACTTGACAGAACTATGAACCACTGAGAAAGCATTATATTAGCAAGGCCACGTGATATCACTTTGTATCATACTGACATACAAAAACTCCTTTCCAACCACAGGTAAGTACCATTTTCATTTAATTGACCATGTTGTGCAAAAGGAAGATTTTTTTGTTTTGAACCAGAAATAGTCATTACCTCTGCATGCTGCTTGGAAAAGAATATTGCCATCATAGATAGCACTGCCTAGGGTGATCTTAACAGATAAAAATATTTTCTAAGTAGAGCAAAAAAAGTAGTTGCTTCAAATTCTACTAATCCAAGTTAGAAATCAGAAGTTTCCCTGTAACAAAGGCACTTTTGAATACATTCTTCTGTCATTGCTTGGCTAGGTACTTACAGCTTTACCCAGATCATGTGGCAAATGGGCCCACTGAGAGTTGAAGAGGATACAGTAGTCTTTTCCTTTGCTGCTCCCCTTCTCTGAAAGGACATGTACCATCCCATACTCACAGTACACCTGAAAACATAACAAAAATTTCACTACAAGAATTTTGGGTCACATGAAATAGCAGAATGATGGGCATAACTTGCTGTTGACTAGCCTGCTTTGTATTTTAAAGAAAAACAAAAGATTCTACAAAGTTTCAGTATCTGTGCAGGGAGTACAGTAGAATTTGTTATTATTTCCATCATACTTCAAACAGACTCAGATACATTAGACTCCCTCCTACACAGCAACTGGTCAAAGAATCAAATGAAACCTCACTGAATGTTACTGGATGTGTTTAAAAAAAACAAAACAAAAACAAACAACCCAAATAACACAGCCAGAATGGCGCATGTATGTATTTAACTAGAGCAATAGAAAGAAGCTGGACTATTGCAGAACAGCTAAGAGAGCTACAATAAGAGGCCTGGCCCCTACCAACTCCTGAAAGTACAGCCTGAAGTAATGATCAATTTGAGATTCACATCACTCCAAAACTCAGCCTTAGACACCGTTGCTGTAGGTCTGACAAGACCCCACAGCATTATCTGCTCTCTTTTTATGTCCTAGGTGGCACACGTAGATTCTCAAGACTACATACTGCATATATTTTTCACTGCTTCAGTGACCAGCAATCACTGCTGTCAAAACTCCAACAATATTTGCTACAAGTAGTGAAGATTACATATCTAAGAGTTATAATTACAGACCTGTACTGGGTCTGGCTGGGATGGAGTTAATTTTCTTCATAGCAGCTGGTATGGTGCTGTGTTTTAGATTTGTGACCAAAACAATGCTGATAACAAACTAATGTTTTAGTTATTGCTGAACAGTGTTTGCACAGTGTCAAGGCCTTCTGTTTCTCACTCTGTCCCCCCAGTCAATAGATTGGGGGTGCACAAGAGGTTGGGAGGGGACACAACCAGGCAGACGACTAAACAAAGAGATATTCCATGCCATATAACGTCATGCTTAGCAATGAAAAGCAAAAAGAGGGGGGTTTTAAGGAAGTTAGCCATCTTTAGCTCAGGAACTGGTCTTTAGCATCGGTCTGCCTGTGGGAGGTGGTGAGTGATTGCCTTTGCATCACTTGTTTTGTTTTTTCTTTCTTTCTTCTTCTACTTCTCCTTTGCTTATTAAACAATTTTTATCCCAACCCACAAGTTTTCTGGCTTTTACTCTTCCTTTCTCCTTCCCTGGCTCACTGGGGGTGGGAGGGGAAGCGAGCAAGTGGCTGTGTAGTGCTTAGCTGCCCACCAGGGTTAACCTACAACAAGGTCATAGAGGCAGAACGTGACAGCTTCACCCCAGTTGTTTATGGGTAAAATCCCTTAACTTGAATAATGAATCATGAGCTTTGGCCACCTTTAACTTGACGTTCAGCCTGTGGAACGCAACTGAGTTGCAGTGGAAGGACCATCTGAACTCTACGCCCAAGTACAGCCCAGGCTGCAGTCCTGAGCTGAAGAACTAGGAACACTACACTCAAAGCTGTGTGTACCTCATGCACAGTTAGTCACAAACTGGGTTTCAAACATGACAACCTCGTCTACCATTCTTCACTCAAAGCTCTCTTAAAACTATTGCTAATTCCTCAAAGCTTCAAAAGGTACAAAAAAAAAAAAAAAAAAAAAGACTCCACATGAAGCCTGAGCCTATACCACAATCAAAGCATGCTTGTGGTATGGGTCATTTCCAGTTGATACACAGCCTGGCTTCAGGTTGGAGCTATATCAGCCTTTACTGCAGCCACTTCCACACTGGGAGCAGCCCATGGTAGCAAGAATCATCCTAGTTGGCTTAATCATGGAGATGTCACAATTCTCCTGAAGAACTCCAGGAAACTGAAGTAACAGAACCCAGACCCTATAGGAATTTGGAGAGAACAAGGGCTGCGGAGAAAAGTAAACATAGTAACATGCAGCAAATATACCAGTTGAAGGCATCTTCTCAATGATGATACACCATATGTAGTCTGTTTATTCAGCTAAGTGTTCTAACCACATCTAACTGCAAGAAGTGCTCCTTTTAACACAAATATTTTCAGCTTCCTATCCCTGCAAGATAATACATAGCAAACATAGCAATTTCCTCATTATTTTAGTTATGTCAGATTGTATCAGGCCATTTTCCAGCAAAACAGAAAGACCTAGGGGCTACATAGGGTGACTGGTCATCACAAGAATTACTTAATTGTTTTTCCCCCCCGCTATAGCAGGTACTAGCAAACACTTCCTTATTACAGAGTTATTCACCAATCTTCTTATTCTTCATGATGAGCTCTGTTCTTTTAAATATTTCCACCCCTCCATCCCTTCCCTGCATATAGTGACACAATTTTGTGAGTACCAGATACATTCCTCATCTTCCACCCAAAAAGCCAGACGAAAAATGCCTACAAGACCATATATAGCACCTGCAGAAGTAAATAGTTTTGTGGAGTTGATGCAGTTGTCTGCTTGTGCACTGAGTCCTAGTAGGTATTTACCCAGGCAACCAGAAATCAAGAAGACAAAGCAACCGTGGAAGTAGGTGCAACTTCCCTACCACTAGTAGTGGTTTTATTTAACTTTAATTAGTGGTGACTTCATTCTCATATTAACTGAATGAAAATAACTGTAAATCCTGCCCACCCTCAGAAATTGTTGAAGAAACACAAAGTATACCATGAGGTCTACTGTTACTGTTCTTGCAGTCTAAGGGCTCAGATACAAATCCTCCTTCCTTCTTCCTCCCATTTCTAAGTGGCAAATGGGTACCTTGCGTTGTTTCACTCTCTGACAATAGGGTCTTTTCCTTGCTGGAACGAGAAGGTATGGAGAATTTAATTTTATCATCATCCATGTCACCATTAAGTTCTATGGGACACTTCTACGTTCTTCAGGGCAGCAACAAGGGGGTTGCAGGCACTGCCCTGGGAATAGTGTCAGGCACCATCTCCACTAATCATAAAAGTCTAAGTTTAAGAACTCTTTCCTTCATGCAAAATACTGAACATCAGCTCCTTGGTACCAAGCCTGTTCACATGTATTCTGCGACCCACCTGGTCAGGTTTGAACACTGCCACATCAAGAATTTCATTTAAGATTAAGATCACAGTTGCTGCAGGAAGCTTTAAAAGCTTCAAATAAAAAAACCCGTTCAGATACAAAAGAAATGCTCAGAAAGCACAACAAAAACTAACTTTTGAGGGTTGTTTTTTGGCTTGGAGGTTTTTTTTTTTCTTTTCTTCTTTTTAAATTCAATTATACAAATCCAGATCAAAGCTTCTTTTTGAAGAAGGAGAGTCTGGCTGATCTTTAATTACTGCTTCGGAGCCTCACAGTCCTCTTACAGAGCAACTTCAATGTTTAAGTAGCACTGTCTGGTAATAGACTATAAAAAGACGATGCTGAGAGCAAATGCAAATTATATCTGTACTTAGCTTCATATGAGTCAGGAAAAAATTGACCATGTATTAAACGTAGCGTTCTCAAAATACTATTTTAGCCCAGTGATTTGGGAATCCAGTGCTTAGGAATACCAAACATTGTTAATGTAACTGGATTCTTCCTATTATCATTTCTGTGTTACAAGAGCATTTGCTTCCTATTGTAAGCGGAAGTTTCTCCATTTTATTAGCATTTTAATTGAGAACTCCTAATAATCCTTACTAGCACTTAGCACTTTGAAATTTGTTTAAAAAAAAAAATCTGAAACACATACAACAACCGACATGGCTCTCACCTTAACTAGTCACACATTTGGTTTCTGGTGGAACGCTGCCCATTCATTAGTGACTGGAGACCATCAGTTCACCACCACCAACAGCAGCAGGTTCAGGAAAAAACCCCAAACAACTCCAAAAAAACCACCAAACAAACAACCCCCCCCATCTATCTTATCTTTCTGCCATCCCCCTTCATGTCCTACTGTCCTCTACCCACAGACCCAACTCCTCCCTTCCCATTCTCCCTTGTCTCTTTCTCCTATCCAGCACTCTTAAACAAAACTGAAGTAATTGACTGAAGACATGTTTAATCGCTCTGTCGTTCAGATTTAGCTTTCCCCACAAAGCAAATCACTTTGTGCCTACCGGAACTGATGAAACCTTGCTCTGGAGAGAAACACAATGTAATATCCCTAGCCATCGCTGCTACTGAATTAGACAGAAAGTTGTGACAGACTAATCTGTCATCATCTAGTTTAACGTTCATAAGCTAAACAGACTAATGATTTGATAATTATACAGTTACACATCTTACACATTTGTTTCTCCAGGTAGCAGCTGAGAAACAAGATGCTAAAGATGACTGGAGGCAGTAGCAAAGTTGTGTCTTAATGTGTTTGTTCAAAAATCCATTAAAAGAATCCATCATTCTCATTTCTCCCTCTTTACTTCAAGCCCTACTACACAGAAGTTACCCTGCACCCCTAGGAGACACTCAAGGTAAAAAGATGCCTTTTGGAACACTTCAAAGAATTGTCGTTTAAACATAAACGATCTCCACACTGCCTGGAGGATAAATGATGCCATTGTACTGCAAGATGTCAGCAAAGCAGTAAAGAAACATCAGCCTAAAAATATACAGGAGGTAGAGATTTTTATATTTAGCTCTTTTGTATATAATTGGTCTTTGATAACTCATGCAGCAACTTTTTCCTTTTTTTTTTTTTTTTAAATAACATTAATGTTCATTAAGTGCTCTAAAATCTATGACATTTGTCCTGAAGTGTGCTGGGCATGGCAGGTTACCCTGCTTATTTCAGTGCAGATTAAAGCTACTTGAGCAAAGTGCAAGTTTACAAGATACAGCTATTTGTGGAGGAAGGGAGACACTATTGTGCATATGCTGTGAGGAAAAAAAAAGTGTTTAGCAAAAAACTCCAACTATTTGCCATGGTGGACTTCTTAACTCATATCTGAGCTATCCAGCCATAGCACCTAAAACCCTTTCAACAAAAGGAAGAAGTATTGAAAAATAATCCATTATTGTTATTATCTTGAATTTTACTTTCAAGAGTGAGAAGCCGCAGAGACCCAAATACAGACACAGACGAAAGACCAGAATAAAAGTATTTCCTGCTTATTGTTACAGGATCTGACTGGCCTTAAAAAAACAGAGTAGCTCAGTTTTGAATATTACGCGTACGACTGCCTCCAAAAGCTTCAGGCAGTTTTGCAGGAGCTGTAAAAGGTACCTTTTACAGGTACCTGTAACTGAACAGCTTTATGCACTTGAGAAACAATTAACCTGTACAGTTAAAAGTTTTACATTTATAAGACATAAGCTACACATCTTTAAAACAAGAGAATAAGTATAGGGTGTGTTGCTACATTTCCATTTAGATAACCATTACTGGAACTCAGTAATAATCCCCAAATTGCACACTGAAGACAGTAATACACAATTATGCTTTCTGAGCAACTTGATCGATGTTCTTTAAAGAAATATTAAGGGAGTAAAAGGTTCCTAATGTGAAGTGCTCAAAACACACTTTAGAAGCTATGTGTTTTTGTGTGCCAAAAGCCAAGTGAAAATCAAGGATGAGAGGAATTAAAGGGAATACGAGCACGGCTAAAAGCAGAAGAGGGTGTACAGAGTCCATGGAGAACGGAGTCCATGGCAAATGTGGATTAACGGACATTTTTACAAAGCAATTATCACTTAGCATCAAAGCATAGTTCTGAAGTCTGTTAACAGCCACTACAAGTTTGTTTTTATCCTCCCACCTAAGCAGAGCCATAGGCATCAGAGTTTCTTGTTTCAGTACCATAGGGCTTTAATGCTTCCAGTTCTGTTTTTATTTATGTCACTGAGTATCAGACAACAAAAGTAAGTTCAAAGAGGTGCAGCTGATGCAGTGGGATGGTGGCAATATTTATGATGGTTCTTAGTTCCTAGAGATCACTCCATATCCTATATTAACCCATGAGAAAATGTAATCTCCTGTGCAGATCCTATACAATGTTCCTACAACCCCTTTTCCAAGTGTTTGGATATAAAACCCAGCCTTTTTCAAACACTAACAGAAAAACAACAGCTGTTGTGATAATAAGGTGTTTTATGATACTTGTTTCTTACAGTACATATGATTTAGAAAGCACTACAACAAGCTTCAATAGGAATGGGCTTCCTAGCCTCAAATAGCAGAAGTAACTTCTCCTAGTTAAGTAGGGAATTGCCTATTTCCCCTATATGAATAGGGAGGGAGTATTTGTATTTAAACATTGTTACCAATCACGCATCCACATTCAACAACAGTGCCATGTCACAAGCAAGACCTCTGCAAAGCTGGAAATCTCCTAGAATCATAGCTTTATGAAGATTGTTGTATAATTAACACAAAGCAAAGTGTTTTATATAAAGCTGCAAAACAAGGAAAAGTTTTCACACAACAGATGCGTAAAGTCTGAGGGCACAACTTAACAGGCAACTGAGCCAACCTAATTGTTTGTGGCATTAGAAGAGCACGCTTGTTTGCTCTGAACCTCATCAGACCCTTCCATGGTTTATTTGATGCATTAAAAGATCAGAACACTCCCCAGTTTTTTGCTGAGTTAAGGTTTTTTTGTCATGTTGGTGAATTAATGCAGCTCAGAGACAAGCACTGGGGCTTGCAAGTTAAATAATGGAAGAAGGTGGAGAGGAGGAATTCAGCTAACCCGTATTTCAAGAAACTGCAACGTGAGTGACTGAGCCAACCTAGTGGCTCATTCTTGTTTGTTCCTCCCTGCCTCTGTCCCCAAACTCACCTGGATGCCCCCTACACTTTTTCCACTTTCATTAGCTCTATTAGCTGATTTGCTCACCTGAATCTCAGAGAGATTTAACAGACACTAGGAGCTGTGCTCCTTGAAGAAGGAATGAATGAGCTATGCCTACTCTTACAGTATGTATCAGGCAAGACACATAGCAGAGTTCCCAAGAGCTGGGGTGCGTTCGTTCCCATGAGCAGCACCGATCAATTTGGAGATCATCAATAGCAGACAGCAAATTTGCACACAAAGAAAACACTCCTTCAACAAGCACTGTACAGTAGAGAGTTTCATATTCACAATGAAACAATTCCATGAGACTAAATTGTCAACCACCACCTTAATCCAGAATTTCAGTCTTTTCAACTCTTCGGACCTATATCATAGTGTGCTCTGATTTTAAATAGAGAAACCATCACCTCAATTCGATATTCTGCTGAAAGCTAGTATAAGTGAAGGCCAGCTAGATCCAACATGCTCACTGCAGATCATGTTACTATATTCTTCATTAGTCAAAGGCTCATGTATGTCTGTTATTGTTACAGGACAACTAAGAGGTAGCAATACCATGCAGGAATGGTTAGAGCGAGAGGGAAGTTAAATGAAAAGTGAGGACTCTGATACCAAAGCAAGATCTAAGTGTACTTGGATCTGTAAGATCACACCCCTCTTCAGGTGTTCCCAGATGAGGGCCCAGATTTGAGAGAGCCATGCTTTTCCTTCTCCCCATATTGAGAGAGAGATATTTTCCTTCTCCCCATTTGAGAGAGCCAAGCTGTTCCTTCTCCCCATATAAATCAGAGTTTAGAAGCAAATGTGGACACTACTTCCCCCTGCCCCAGGGAAAAAAGTAATAAATCCTATTATCCTATCTCAAGGAGGGAGGGAGACAAAGATATATTCCAAATATGCCCAACAGCACTATGACAAGAGTAAGCCATTGATAATGAGTACAGCTGGTGCACAGCAAATGCACACAACAGCTCATAGTGAGAGTTGTCAGCTTTGTCCCCCAGAATAACCCCATCCATCAGTCACTGGTGTATCACAGTAGTACAAGTGCATCAGAGCACTCCTCTCTGCCTCAAGCTGAGGATGATGTACTACCTAAAACCGTACCAACAAGCGCAAGTACAAGAGATGTAGAAGTATTGCAAAATACAAGGTATTCAAAAAAATTTTAAATAAGACAGCTCGGCTAACAGAAACATATTAGCAGCATACAGTAAATTCGCTTTTTGCTGCTGCAGCAGGACTGTTTCAGCACTCTGGCCAGCCTGTTCAAAGCTTGCTCAAGCACATTAACACTATTCCACTGCACAAACATACTAAATTACTTGCTTACAGAAAGGAAGTATGCTGCAATGCATGGAGCTGAAGCCAAGATCTCTAAGTATCCACCAGTGGACTATCTCATCTGCTGTCCTTCCACACTGTGATGTGCTCACCTTTTCTAGACTGATGGATCAAACTGACTCCATGCCAGTCCTTGACCCATTCTTATATCTTATTAATTTGTGGGGCCTATGCTGGCACTACCCGTCCAGTTGAAGCATTAACAGAGATGCCAAAATGCACAAGGCATGCGGGGAATAAGGAAGGGATGATGCAGGAAAAGATGATGGAGGAAAAGAAAAAAAAGGGGATGATGCAGAAATAAAAAAGAAGTTAACTGGCAACGAGGCCATTCTGTAACTAAAGATCACTGGCAAGGAATCAGTAAAGAGACAGGTACAGAAGAGGGAAAAATTAGACTGTCGTGTTAAGATGTTACACCAATAATACTCAAGAAGACATACTACCCTCCAAATTACCTAATAAACAGTTAAGAACTTTAAACGATACTTCAACATTTTCAGAACACAAAACACCTGAACTTAAAACACAAAAGCTATGTACCATGCAATACAATAGCTAAAAATCCACTCTCTCCTGTATCAGGATTACATGCCTAGTTTGTCACACCCTTAAAAATTTATTCCACAAAACTTACTAGTATTGTAATGAGAATGCAAGACTCAAGACAGGCTA